GGCATGGCGGGGCGGCGGCGGCGCGCAGAGCAGCGCGGCGGCCGCTGCCAGCCCAACACCCCCGCCGCCACAGCGCCATCCCCGCCCGGCCCGCGCCGCCGCCGCCACACAGCCGACACCCCTAAAAACCCGTCTGTCTGTGTGCGTACACAGGTATATAAAAATATACACACATTTTTCAGTATTCATTTGGTAACTGAAAGAAGCCCACTGCAAAACAAGACACTGCCGCAGGAGCACGCTCCTTGTCAGGAGAATATCACCCTGCTCTGAGCACCGGACCCTGGCCCAACTAGAGGCTACTGGTTAACCTGGATAACCCAGTAACTTCCACTGACAGCTGGTTACTCTGCTGTAACTGAGTTGCGAGAGCCAGGTATTTCACACCAGCTCTTACCTCAAAATTCGTCTCGACTTATTGCACGGGACTCGGAAGCCACATAAACCCTAAACAGGGAGTTTTTGTGCTCGAGCTCATTCCCCACAGCACAGCACTCACCAAAGGGCCCTCCCTGCTCTTACCCAGCTGGGGTTACACAGCAGGTAGGTTTGTCACCCACRTGTCCTTCCTGGGTGGCCATTTCCACAAGGAAGGAGGATGCTGTTCAATGTGCTTAAACCAAGAAGTAATTCGCATTTCGTGAGAATGGACCTGAGGGAGGAAAAAAGCACTAAATGAGAAAAATCAAGGTTTCCTGCTGAACGAATAACCAGAGGAGCAGAGTGAATTGGCTCTTCATTTCTATATTTAGCATCAGTTAGAAAAAACAACTATGATACAGGGTTTATAAAAGCTGTCGACAATGCGAGGTAAAGATACAGGTCTGGGCATTTGAAAGCAAATTAGTCAGCACCTTGCATGGAGCTTCTGCAAATTACAGAATACATATATCAAGCTCTCCAAAAAACGCTACTTTTAAAATGGCAACACATAATTTTCTCTTGTTTGAGGTAAAAACATCATATTGATTAAAAAAACAGACAAGTCACACCTTACCTTGCATGTGCACTACTAAAAAAGTTGCACTCATAATACAATTACACTATAAAACCTARGACAGGTAAGTTGTGCAAAAAATATGGAAAGAGAATCCACATGAGGAAAAAGTTAAAAAAAATCACATTAGTTGACACTCTTGGAAAACAAATCCCACGAAATAACTTATCCAGACTCACACATAGCCAGGAATTCATTTTTACAGTGACACCCTGGTAGCTCTAAAATATGCTTAACAAGTTCTTAAAGGCTAAAATTATACATCCAAATGAGAAGACGTTAGCAGTTTCTTGGAACACAGATTGTTTTTCTAGCCTAATTCAAAGCTCCTCTTTTCTAGTATTACATAATGTCCATTTTCCATAATCTAAAACTTTTTTTTTCTTTAAACAGGAATCTCAGATATGCAGTCATATAAGCAGTTTCATGAGTTGGCCACAGATTTTTATTAATAATTCTAATGCTGACCAGCACTAGGCTAGTTTTGGTTTATTTTTGGAAATGTCTGAAACCGTGATGTCCTGTTGAGGACAACTTTTGGAAATTATCTTATCTGGAGCAGGTATGTCATGAAGATCAGCTTTGTTTACACAGAGCTCAAGTCTGTGGAACAAAAAGAACAGATATAAAAAGGGGGAAATCAGCCACTCTGGATTTACGGAAATGCACAATGAGGGATGCGTATGAATATCTGAAATAAATATGGAAAGAGGTAATCTTGAGAGAAAGATCAGGCAAAACCTGCCCATTGTATCACCAACAAAGCAGTTTAGAAACCCCATAACTCAGGGCACTTAAGAGTTAAGCCTGGACAACACACATACAAGGATTCAGATTATAAGGACCCAAATGATGTGGARAAGCCCGGGTGCCTTCATTCCCTCCCTTCCCAGAACAGAAATTCCAGTTTTTCTTTACAAGATTAGGGCCAAAGGAATGATCAGACTCCAAGAGGACGCACTTGCTTAACTGGCCATCAGCAGCAGGCCTCCCAACAAGACTCATAATAGCTGTTTTGAAACACCTCTAAGCCATGAAATACCATTTTTCATTAAACAGTTGCACACCATCTAAAAACAGTTACTTTTACATTCGATTTACCTACAAAGCTCAGTGGAGAAGCAGCWTTGTACTTCAGAGTATTTTTGCACTCAAGGAATGAACCAAACACTTAAATTCAAGTTATCCTATCAATTTTTCTACACTTCGCATTGGCTTTTTATATGAAAATTATACCCCAAATAAGATTCCAAATTCAGTAAAATCTAATCCATGCATCCTTTATTCCATTACAATCACTGCGTTGCATTCTAGCAACAGGACACAAACTGCAATCAATCTGCGATCAATTTATACAACAATCTGAGGCTTACAGTACATTTAAGGCCTTTAAATTTGGAAAAATTAGACCTATGCTAGTAGTGTAACAATTTTAAGTGTCTTGCATTTCTGATGCATATAATCTGTGCGATTCCAGTGTTAAAGAATCAAATTACCTCTAAACTAAAAAGATCAGTTCAATGAAAATTTAGTTACATAAATTCATCAAAACATAAATGTGTAAATTGTTTTGCCCTGGAAACTTTATAAAACTTTAATAGCAAAATAATATAGGGATAAAAACATATTTTAACAAAATGTATTCAATCATATACAAACCAGAATTTTGCAGTTTATTGTAGCTAGACTTAAATTAAAACTACCAATTAAGAATCTATGCACAATGAAAATTCAAATATGTACAGTACTTTTAAAAAGTCTACAGGAATGCTTTACAGAAGGAAATGTCAGTTATGGCTATTATTCAGACCATCTGAATATTAAAATGAGTTTTCTAGTAGTAAATTTACACATTTATTTTTAAACAAAAGAAATTTTATCTGTTTTTTCCTTTAAGAATATTCCAGTTATGTTTACACAGGTAATGGAGAGGTCATTACAGAATTTAGCCCCATATAGTAGTTTGCTTATTTTCAGGAAAAAAAAACCTATGTAAATAATTTACTTGGGAAGATCAGTAAGTTAACAAAAGAACACGAAGAGGGAGAGGGGGAGATCTTCATCACAATAACTTTCCAGTTACAATACCACAGCTAGAAAAACGTTACAAAGAAAGTACTCCCTTAGACTGAACCCACAACTGATTGTTTAGAACAGGCTGCAGCTCGTGACAGTTGTGTCCTACATACAGAGAACGTTGGAAAAAAAGTCTTTGTAGGACAGAATTATAAACGATCAGAAGTGAGACAGAGAAAACTGACCTTTGATTAATACAGCACTAGGTAAAAAGTGTCCCCATAAGCAGCTAGAATCCCCACTTCCTTCAGGGCATCGAAGCTAAAAATGGTTGGAATTACAGTAGTTGACCATATTGTGTGCATTAGTAGAATCATTTCCAGATATAAAAGACAAATTTCATCAGCTGTTTGATTAGAACGCCCTCAAGTCAGGGCATTTCTTCATAGTATAAAGCTATTACAGCTATCCAGTTAAAGCATGTGCAAAAACAGGTAATTTCTTCCGTTCACAGTAACTGAGGTAAAATCAGGTAGGCTTCTTCAGGAGTTGGGAAGTTCATGAGATATGAACTGTTTTAGTCTCTCTAAGTACTGTGCATAAAGCTCTATGTCATTATGCCCGGCCCCTTCCACCCAGAGGGGCTCGACCGCTCGCGGACATCGCTCGTACATYGCCAGGCCGTGCGAGAAATCAATGACCTCGTCTTCGGTACCATGGATTACCAGCACAGGAGAGGTTACTTTAGAGATCTTGTCAATGCTGGGGATGGAAGAGAGAGAAAACACTGCTCAGTTTGCAGCTTTTTATGTTTGCATCATTTAAGAAAGCAAGTTTAGTTATCATCGCCACTTGGATATGGCTCTAGACTTCACAAAGGGGTCAGTCTAACGGCTTAAAATAATTAAAAATATAGACGTCAACACACACTGATGTAAAAGCWGGTTTAAAGCAGCTGTATGAAAATATGAAGTTAATTAAAAATTGAGACGTAAACCAAAACAACAGCCTTCACATGYGTAAACCTTAGCCTCCAATATTCTAGAGAAAAGTCCCTGGTATTCCAGTAAACAGCAGACTGTAAACATGTTTTTGTCTCAGTGTCTAAGTGTTTTGCTAAAATCAGACTTCATGTCAGTTAAAAAATTTTTAAAGTTAAAATGCAATGCATTTCACTTCTCCTGTCTGGACCTTTGGTTGTGCTTAGCTGTATGCAGAAAAATATCCCAAGAATGTAAAAGGAACATCASAATTATGTATGGATAATTTGTTTCATAGTTTTCATCACCAAATTCATACCACAGCTAAAATATAAATATTTAATCATCAAAATGCTATGTAAACTGAAGCCTTAAGYCCACAAAGGGTCTGCCTCTTACTTCCATGAAGTGCCAGCTCTGCACAGTTACCTACAGATTTTTATGCATCATGTCGGTAGCTAGATTTTAAATTCTCATTTTTGATAGGAAACCAGGAAAGYCCTTTCACTACAGTACTCAGTTAATGAAACTTTTTTCCCCACCTCTATTCACAGAACATTAAGCTAGCTAATATTTGCATTTTGCAGAAAATTGGAAAGCTTCCCATTGCCAGCTCAGCGACTCATAAGGCCGTATTTAAGCTGCACATTAGACTTACTTAGTATTCTTCGCCACACCACTCTGCAGCTAGAAAAACCTACAGAGACCACATTCGCATGGAGTCCCGACAGAAAGGCACATAATAGCAATTCACCGTGGCTGCACACAGGACTATTTTGTCTCCTGCCGTGCAGACAGGCAGCTGAGCTGCACATTCCTGGACGTGCACACGTGTTTATTTTCACTGCTCACGGTGCAAGTGAAGTCAGCCTGATGGCGATGAGCAGTTGAGCAGGTTAAGARCAAAATACTCGAGCACTACAGGCCATCTGTTGTCAACGTCCTCCCCCTTTTATTTCATGTAGAGCTGTAATTTGACTTAGTTGGTATCAACTCATCACTGTTAGTTTTGTAAATAGAGCTATTTTTAAAGCTTTGTTTTTCCTCCGGCAGAAACATTTGCAAATATTAAATTTCAAGTTTAAGGATGATGAACAAGTTTGAAGAGGAATTGCAACAATCTTCATTTTACCTTATTTGCTGGAATACTGACCACAAGACTGATTACAGTTCCTGTGAGAGCTGTATATTTGGTGATCTGGCTGTTCAGGCACACAGATTTATGGTTATGTTTTCCAACCCCTCCACACTACTAATTTTAATCTGTGGAGACTGAGATGAAAYGAGCACGATGAGGGCTATGAATATCCCCTACATCACTCACTGTAAACGTGCCCTTCTGAAGCCAAGCCAAGTATTGCAGAAGGCTGCAGCAAGTCTCCTCTGCTCCCTTCCACGGACCACTCAGATTTTTCTTTTTCATCAGCCTCTCCTCTCATCCTTCCTGCACAAGTCTGCTCACCCCTGCTATGACTGCATCCTTGTCCTCTTAAATCACACTAATGCCTGCCACATATACTTAAGTTGTATTTTTATATATGACAAGCTCTGTCCCAGAAAGCATCATTTTATTCAACAATCCTCCTGCTGCTAAATATACTTATAAAGCTCATCCCTGACAAGCACTGAAGCCTTTCTTATTTAAATGAAAGTCTCAAACAATAATCCATTTTTAATAACACTGGAAGTTTAGCTGTACAAAGTGACCACAATCAAGTGTTTTAAGGTATTTTCTTAACCATCTGTAAGAAGTTAGTAAAACTCTGCCCAAATGATAAAACTTGTAATGTAGAATTTAAACGAGTTTTACAGAATTATTAGGTAATTAATAACATGAAGACTGTCTGTGAAAGCAAAAACCTAGGTAGCCAGAGCTATGGTTTTTCTCATCAGTTCCACAAAAGTGATTCTTTTCAATTTYCCTTATAGTAAAATCCAAGCTCTTTCAAGAAAGATAAAGAAGTCCAAATTAAGGTAAAATGAAGCATCAAATGGAATTTTTGAMAATTTTGAAGGTATTCAGTATTTTGAATATTGTAAACTTGCAGAACAGACATCTAGAAATGTATCCAAACTCATTAGTATGTTCTATTGACTAATTTTCAGCTCTTTGGATTTGTCTCTTCTCTCATCWAAACTGAGTCAGAAAAGGAGTTTTAGAAGACTCCAAGAACATCTGTTACTCCCAAGCATTTGGATTTTCTTTAATTTAGATCTGTTGCAATTTCTTTTCAAATGAGACACTGGGTTACAAGGACAAACACTTTCTCCTGAAAAAACTTGTATACAGCTTTCTGCATGCAAAATATTACAGAGCTCCTTAAACAGGCACGGCATCTTCGGAAAGAGGGACAGTAACAACAACAAACACATCAGTAAGAGGCATTCCCCCAATCACAGAGGAAATGCAGAACTGAGCAAAAAAAAAAAAAAAAAAGGAGAATCACTTCAGATTAACACTCTAGCTTCTGACCCTGGCTTGTTCTCTCACTTTAAAGTGGCCATGAACTATAGCTTTTTCTTTGTGATCTGGTAAAACTGCAGCAATGTGCTAGGAAGCAACTTGAAAACTACAAATTCATTTCACATTATGATATTATCTTCTAAATCAGAGTCAAGTGAAATGTTACAGAGTGTACGATTACTAATTGGTTAGTCATTAGCCTGAAGGACTTAACAACACATTAGCACTTTTTAAGCTATTATTTCAAAGTTGATGACATAAAAATTCTAAGACTAACAAGTCAAAAGATAAAAAAAAAAAAAAAGGTAGAAAAACAGTAGTAAACACCAAGGCTTTCTAACATGTCAGTTTGAGACTGTTATCAGCCTGTCTATAGTGTGAATCTCTCCTTTGATTGTCTCCTTTGAAGGTGTGTGTCTCTGGAGTGCAAAATTCAGGTCACAACTTAAGGAAAGCTCGCTAGAGAGTTACCCAGCTTGGTCCTTTCCAACCTGGAAGGAGCACACTGAGTACACAGGAATCCCTCTGCAGCATTTGTACGTACCTCGGAAAAGCATCAAAACAATAGGTTTTCCTGGTGTCAGGAAAAGCTACCCGTAATCCGGACATCAGAGGAGAATGAAGGATGACTGCTGCACACTCGTACCGAGAYGCCAGGTCTACCGTAGGGACAGTACCAATACTCTGGCCATACAGGATAATGTTCTCAGGACTAACACCATACCTGTGGAGAAAATAAACACCGTTTTTAAAACACTTTTTGCATCATAAAAACAAAGTAAGGGACAAAAGGAATCCATTCCATCTATTGTACTTCTTTAAAGTTCACTCCAATCAGGCAGGAATTTACAAGTCTAAATTTTAAAACGGTACCATAAGCTAAATAACTGGAATATTACATAGRTTTAATAGAGCTTGTCCTCAAAGGAGAGGCGTTACTTCGATGGTAAATCTCCACCACATTCATGAGCACCTCCTACCTTTCACTGCACAGCAGAGCTAATTATAAAGTAAATTCTTCCCTGCCCAGTCACACCCAAGACTTTGATTTAGACAACTTGAATGTTAATAACCTTCCCATCATTTAACAAAAAGGCTACTGCTCTACCCTCCTCCTTCTTTGCACATAACTGAAACAAAAAGAATAAATTGCCTTTTTAATGTATTTTAAGATATTTTGTTTTTATAAGGATTTTGGAGAGCATAAGTTTTGTTCTTTTGTTTTTGCCCATTTCTCATTTTTCCTTTCCAGTTTAAAATACCATGCTAAATGTACTTTACATTTAATGTAAAGACATATCATACCATAAAATTCAGGGATCACAGGGAGTTTTGGATGGCTCCCAAATATTGCTAAGCTACAAAAATACCCTGTGTTTCACAGCTGCAAATAAGTGGAATCTGAATTAGTATCATCATCAACTCAGAGTATGCAAAGCATAAAGGAATTTAAAATAGTTTCCCAGCTGGGAGGGGGACAAGGGATAGGAAGAAGGAAAGAGAACAGTACCAGCATTTGGCTACCACAACTGCAGAGCCCCAAATAAAAGGTGTTGCTCAGTTCATTATACAGTATTTATCCAGAAGGCTTCAGTGCCAAGTTGAACTGCCCACTGCAGGCTGTCCAAAGAATAATTCAGCAGGGAAAACAGACACATCTCTAGTAGAAAATGATTTGTTGGAAAACATCTTTCTGCCAGTCTAGCCTGGCTATGAACCTGCTGTCACTGCTCTGATAATGCAAATCAGAGCCTACAGCTTTGGCTGCTCCCGCTGCACCCTTGGAAGGGTTTCAGCTCCCTTCCCACGCTGACTGCAAGGTATCTGACAGGCCTAGGGAATATTCGACTTTCAAGCAGCTAAATGAGAAAGAACTTGCAAAGGGAAGAATGGAAGTTACAAGGGAAGGATGGGATAGGACTAATCACCCAGCTGCAGGCTGCTGAGAGGGCCTGGTTTTATGGTGAAGTGAAAATGCGCTGGTCTGTGGCCTCYGAAACTGGCAGTGCCTTCGTGTTTCTGTACAGTAGAGCGTAGGGGAGCTTCTGGCCACCACTGCAACATGAATAAGCAACTGTATAAAAACATCTCCCCGAAGCAATATTTTCTCCCCTCGGTAACCAGGCAGCGGCTCACGCTGGTGGTCCATTAGCACAGCCAGGGCACGGTGCTTTTCAAGACAGGCTGCAAAGCTCTTTGGGGAGATTTCTTTTTCCTTTTACAGTTAATTTCTTTTTCCTTTTACAGTTAGAGTGAGACCAACACAGAGCAGAACTGAGCTGACTGTGGTGAACACGTTACCAGGATCTCAGAGCAAGGTCTTGCCCGCACTGACTTCATTCCAGCAGCTGGCACGCTGGGGGAGCACATATCTTTAAATGCAACGCATAGAAACTATGCATCCAATTTTGCTGATCTACCAGCTGTTTACAGCCCCAAAGGGAAAGAGAACTGCAGCAACAGCACAAAAATGAGGAATGGAATGAGAAACCTCTACACAGCCCGAAGCAGGGGTACAGTAGCATTAATGCTGACAGGTTTTGCAGTATCTGAACTCYAGTATCATGCTAAATGCAAAATCAAGGGTTTACAACCTAACTACGATGTGTAAGGATCCCTGGACAACACAGCAAAGCAGAGGGTATCAAGAGAACTCCTTTAACATATCCAGTCGCTTTAGTATTGCAATTTTCCTTAACACTGATTTGCTTTGGATTCATTTATGATGTGTTCCTGACAACAGCTTATACTGTGCGTGTAGCCTCTTGCTGCCATGGCAATAGGTACTCTAGAAACACAAGACAAGACAATCTCCATTTCACAGTACACCAGTTAAAGTTTTTTTTTTTTTTTTTTTTTTATGTAAATCTCTAAATTGAAGATTAGCATCACTGAAAATTCTAACGATTTGGATTTAACCCTTTGGAAAGTTAACAAGGCAGCTTTGCCAGTATTGCCCAGCACAGTGACTTACTGTATATTGCAGCCTGATATCTTTCCTACTTCATACTACTGCTAACAGACAAGTAAAAACATTTCTCAAATTGTTTGATTTAGGGATCGACTTCTCAAAATAGAACAGTTACTGAAACAAATTTGTCTTTCTGTGCTCATGACCATTACACCACCCATCACAACGGGACACAGCAAGCTCATCGCAAACATCAGCACAGACATTGACATATGACATTTATTTACTGCAGGGCCAAAGGACATATGGCAACTCCTAAGCAAGGTCCAGGTGCAACTGATGTGTACAGGGTTTTTCAGGGTCAGCAAAGTTCTAGCTCCATGGCATACTTAAAGTTYTGCTCAGCCTAGGACTCTGCAAGAGCTGTTGGTTTAACTGAGGTGCAAAGTGACCCAGAGGAGTTATTTTTAAGACAGTATCTTTTTAAAGTCAAATCTAGTCTCCTTCCTCAYTCTCCATAAACTCCTTTCAAGGATTAAAGATTCTTCTCAACTGTCCACCATCATACGGGAAGTGAAAGGAGAGGTGAGGAAGAGTGGCCATGCACGAGGAGAAAATCATGCAAGAGGATGTGAAGCTAGCAGAAAAGGAAAACTGAAGAACGCCTCATAAAGGCAAGAGAGACTTTTGAGAGGAATTCTGTTACAGTTTGCTCTCCTATTAAGGAAGAAAGTTCTTCCATGAGCTGAACAGCAAGGCTAAAAATATCCTTTTTAAAACATCTTGAAGCAAGTGAGCTTTGCTCTGTGAACACAGGGATCCCATGAGGAAYGCGAGGACCCAAGTTGAGTTTACCTAGAGCAGCTTCAAAACAAGCAGGTGCCATCCAGAAACCAGCCTTAAAGAAAAGTAAAATAGGAAGCACCTCACATAGCTATCGTGAGCGTATGGAAAGGGTGATTTGAAGGGGGGGGGGGGCAGTTTTTTGATCAGAGGTCAATTACTGAACAACTTAAACTCAACCAAACAAAAAACACAGGTAACATAAAAACCACACAGAGGCAAGCATTTCTCCTCTCCCTACCCACAAATACAAGCCAGGTGGTGAAGCTGTCCAGCCCTGTCCACTCTCCATAAGCCCCRAGTGGATTACACGGCTTGTGGATTCATCCCCCTGGGCAGGCCAGCTGCCTCGGCGAGCAGGACAGCTCTGCACGTGCAGGACTTGCCCTGCCAGCCAGCCTAAGCTCAACTCAACTCACACTCATCAGCTGGAAACGTGYATCTGAGAGCAGTCCTGGTGTCCTCACACCAGCACAAACTGCACTCTGAAAGTCACTGCAGGCAGCTGTGTCACTTGCAAGTCTTTGACACTTGCTCCTGCGCAGAGTAATGCGAGATCTCAGTCACGGCAGCAGAACGGGACGGGGAGGCTGGGATCGTGCRGGAGGTCTGGGCACAGTTAGGAAGCAGACAGTCATTTCCAGCTGTGTGGTCATGGGAAGGGCCACATCTCTCCCCACGTCTCAATGTCCTCATACCACAGAAATGACAATATCTGACATGTTTGCAAAGTATGTGAGATTTCTGGACATCTACTATGCAAGAACCATGAATGACCATAAAAAACATGAGCATGAGATGCTCAATACATGTTTTCTTCCACGAGTTCACTTTGGGCGACGCAGAGGGGAGATTTACCACTGCTATTTTTACTCTCTTTCTCCGTTGAAAGTGTCAGTGGCCRTAGCTGCTCAGGGACAACAAACAGGTCTTACATCCGCAGTCCTGCAATGGTCACAGCCAGAGCATCAGCATCCGTGCCAGTCCTCAGAGGTGCTAAATCCCTATCAATGAGACCAGTTCTGCTTTCAGGCAGACTGAGTCAGGGCAGTTAACCACCCCGGACGTTTTGGGTGCTAAAGTTTGGTGGGTTTTACTGTCCCAACATTCCCTCATCACCTGGAAAGCAGGGCATGGACAGAAGAGGAATCATGACAGCACATTAAAGGCTTCAAGTTATTAAACCAGTCCCAGTAATGCAATCTAGACAGAGACCCCCTGAAGCATTCGCACYGCAAAAGCCCATTTCATAGTGTGCAGCCCTAGTGCTTTGCTTCTACTAAACCCATAGGCTGCTATAAGTGACCAGCTGCCTCCTTGTAACAACATAAGTCAACCAAGTAAAACCCATAATAGGGGCCGCGTCTTGAACATAAACTCCACGGCTTAATCTCATGGTCAAAAAACACTAAGAGAAGTTTGGCCAATAAATATTACTGAAAAATTATTTACACACTGAAAGCAAAGCACCACATTTCATGTCATGCTTCAGCAGGCAGCACTTCAGCATCTAGGCCAGAATACCACAGAAATTACATGGTGGATTTTCAGCATAAATGCCAACACTGGCAGTAAGGCCTTAGATTAAGTTTTTTTATGTTAACCATAATACTAACTGTCAAATGAGAAAAATAGAAATACTTCAAGAATCACAGGAAACCCTGGCACAGAAGATTCCCTTTGCTATGTTCTCACCCAAGTTTCCTTGAATTCACACAAATATAGTTCTGAAAAGTCTCGTGGTTTACTGAATACAATAGAGTAAATAGAGTAAATTATGAGAKGTCTTTCTCCTCTTCCTCCTTCCCATTCAGCTCTCAGAACAAGCACTTTGGAACTGAAGTTTAGGTCTAATGGACTCTGACTTCACATTTTCACTGCAGTTAAGAGTCAAAAGAAGCCTGCTTAGTATTCTGGCTTATGAAACTGCAAGAAAAGGAAGACTTTTTCTTTACATATATCTGAAYACT